CTCACACCTAAGAGATTTTCCGGTGAAGAGCCTCTAACACTCAAGTCAGTCTTGAGAAGATGAAAAAAATATATGAAAATATGTAAAGTGGTTATGAGGTTATGTCTACAAATGACATATTTCACCCCTATTTATAGAAGTGAATTACCTGCCCTAGGAGCTTCCCGGGCGAACTAACGCAAATAGTGTTCGAATTCAATGAACAGGAGCTCGAAATACCCAAACTCGACTCATTTGATTCGATTACAAAACTACTTAAGCCAACACCGTTGCATGAAATGTTATTTGAGAATCCACAATGTTTTGGTTTCATTAAATAAAAAATTACATGTCAAATAAGTAATAGACACAATCTAGAAAAATATACTCTAAAAAATGCAAGTGCAAGTAGACTGAGTCCTGCTGATGTGGCAGCAAGAAAAAGAGACTCGGGTCTACCTTTAAGTCTATTTTAGACTCAATTAGAGACATAGTCTCTTTACATTGGAATTATTTTTGTTTCTGTATAGTTTATCAATGTCATCCAAGACTTAAGTTCATTTACATGTCACGAGCAAAATTATACCCAAAGTGAGTTTGTATGCATGACACCTGCCACTTCGTCTGAATATACACAAGGATTAAACAATATAATAATATAGTATAACAGAATTCATTTAATTAGAAACCCATAATATTTTTTTTAAAAAAAAAAATTAAAAATAATGTGTTCTGTTCGGGGATATTGTGATGAGACAATTTCTCAAGTGTCGTTTTGTGAGATATGTTTTTTACTTATTTTTTCTTGTTTATATAATTTTCTTAAGATAATTATTAGCCCTAGACTAATATTTTATTTTATTACTAATGTTATTTTTTTTTTGGTACATGGACCTTCCGGTTTCCGAATCCACAGAAGTACCGACTAATCCGGAATCGAGCCGGGTAGGACCACAAAGGCGACAAAGCTCTCCCTCAAGAGTTAAGGTTAATATTGTTTTTGTAGGAGACCCTTTGTTGTTGATTATGTAATATAATAAGAAAATGTTAAATAGTTTGTGTTATATTACTTATTCCTTATTATAAAACGACTTTGTTTATAATAATATTAACGGAAATGAAGTTCTATTGTTTTAAAATACCCTTAAATAATACAAGTAATCCTAGTAACAAGCCAACTAAGATAAATGAATAAATATTTTAGTTGTTATACGAAAAAATATTGCAAAATAATAAATTAAATAGTACAACACCGTGTATTACACGGGTGCTTATTAAAACAATTTTTCTTAAATTTTAAAATTAATGAGAAAACTATATTAAATTAGTTTACGTTTTTACAAAAAAAATATTACTATATATTTTAGAATGATGTGTTACTTATGACTTACATGTGTTATATTATATTAGTTTTTATAACTTATATCATATAACTACTTGAAATATAAATATATTAGTTGATAAATAATTTTATTTTTCTAATTAATATTAAAAATAATTATATTATTGTTATAAAGATAAATATAAATTATTTTTTTTATACATATAATATGGATGTTAAATCGAAGCTCATCAAAAGAAGATTAATATAATATATTACTATGTAAAACTGATAAAAAATACAAAAAATATTAACTTTTAAAATATATATACAATTCAATAGTTATAATAAGGAATGATATTAAAATGCAATTAATACATATAACATGACCATAAATAATCAACATATTTATGGTAATCCGAACCTAAGTATTTTTGGTTTGGAATTAAATTAAAATTATCCAAGCCTAATAACGAAGCATGTAATTTTGCCACATAAGATTCCGAAGCACCAGAAGCAGCCACCACGTAGGCTCAACGTGTTCTGAATTAATATATAGGGGATACTTGTTATTGTCCTGATTAGATCGAATTGCCTGAATGAGCTACTATAAGATTTGTATTACTACAAAGTCAAGGACTCAGAGTTAATTAAAAGTTCCGCAGCTATAATGCATAAATGTAGTATTATGTTTAATTCTATGTGCCCATGCAATCAACATGATGGAAATGATTCTGATAAAGCAGCTATGGAGAGTGCTCACCCAACCTGATCTTCTCGTGAGCAAAGTGATAAAGAGCAGGTATTTCCCATCATCTTCAATTTTCCATGTCCCACTAACAAATTCAGCATCTTGGCAGTGGAGAAGTTGGTGGAACATCAGAAATCTTTTGAAGGAAGGGCTGGAAATAATAGTGAAGAATGGTAATTCCTTAAAAGTTCATGATTACAATTGGATCCCTGGAATTCAAGGGAAACAACCTCAGCTCAGGAATGGAGAATTGTACAATCAGTTGATGGTTAAGGATCTAATTGATGCCACTGGAAAACAATGGATTGAGCAGAAGGTAGCTGAAGTTTTTGGTGAGGAAGAATGTGCAGCTGTGTTAGCCATCAATACCTTAAATCCCACTGAAGAAGATAAGTGGAGGTGGAAATGGGGTCCAAAAGGTATGTTTTCTGTGGCTGCAACTTATTCACATCTTATGGAGCAAAAGTTGCACAAACTAGATGTAACACCCCACTTTGATTTTACAGAAATTTCGAATTTTCCAAAAAAAACC